ACCTATGTGAAGACCTCAAATTTCTCATCTCCAACAAATTTTATGGCTTTCCCAGTTTTGCCATCCCGGAAAACAATCTGACATTCCAAAAACTGTATCCGAAATTTTCCATTCGATGTCTGCACGTATATTTCTTCACCCGAAACATTCCACTTAACAATGATTGATAATAAGCGTTAAATAATTCCATTGAAATTTTTGCTTTTGTATTTTGTTTGTTTGCGACAAAAGTCTGATGCAATCAGCACAACTTTAATCTGTCAAAAGCGATGTAAACAAAAAATGTCACTACAACTCTCGAGTACACAAATAAAAACGTCTCGAGAAGTACCCAAATAAACTGATAACGCAAGCAGATTACGTCCTTACGTGCAATCTTCAAAATATTTTCACTTAATACCTAGTTGATGGCATATTTTTCATCGACAACAAATCTCCTTATCACTCTAAACTTTATATGTGAGCACAATCGTTATGAATGTTTATGTTTGTGTTCACATGCAATTATTGTTTATTTGCTTCGACAAGAGTGCAGAGTTCACTTCATGATCGCTTATCAGTAAGCTTTGTTCAGGGTGCAATCATATGCTGCCGACAGCATCTTTACATAGCAACAAACAATATTTCGGCATTGGTTAATATCGCAATATCATAAAAGCACACTAAATGAACAATACAGTTGATCGTATCATAAAAAACAATAGAATAGACAATTGATCGTAAAGAGCAATCCCATGGGATACAAAGCTTAATTAAGCCTTCTATCGGATTAAGTGAATGAACTTGATCGATTTCAGACAGCGTGCAAGACTCAATCAGAAGATCGCTTAACAAGGACGTAAAGATCGAGCCAACAGCCGCATTCTTTGCACGTATCGCTGGTGCATCAGAGAAGGACATCGTACACTCGGGTCTTGAATACAGTATGCAGAAAGCTGGTGCGTTCTAATGGCTATCATTGAATTTCAGAAATTCCAGCTTAATCCAACTCGCATTAGATTTCGTTCGAGGTCCGGTAATACCTCCTGAGAATTTCAACAAATTCTGAAAAGAAATCCAAATCAACAACTCAGTTTCTCCTCAAGAATTGACAAATGTCACATATTGATTATATTCATGATATTTCCTCTGAAAATCCATAAGTTCAGCAGCAGTGCGGATAGTTGACACTTGCAAATGCAAACATAATCGCAGTTTTAGTCAGAGCTCAACGCTAGTACTAATATGAGTCAGGCAACTGAAATTGTGGCCAATTTCAGCTGAACAAATCATTCGTACGGCACACAAATACGATCTCGGCTTGGACATCCGTACGGCAGCATACGCGAACGCCATTGAGAAGGTCTACAACACCTACAAGACACTCGGATTCACGTTCACATAAGCGATCCTAGCATCACATCTGTGATAACAACCAAGTACCATGCGGGTTAAGCTTGCCTCTGGCATGGCACATCTGTCAACATTGTTTATCTCATTAAATTTACAAACAAAACAACGAAAATAGAATCGAAATAAAAATTTAAAAATTGCTCGTGTGTTCGATCACGTTTACATTACAAGCTTATGGTTTACTTGGAACTACTGATCGTTCCGTTATGCATCGAATTTTGAGTGTTCAGCAATCAACATTAGCATAAGTCTCGAAACTGACGATCAGTTTAGAATACATGAACGATTCGGGCGTCAACGATTCTCACTGCACCAATTAAATTGCAAGAATTTCTTTTGTTTCGATCTTCATGAAAATAATTAAATGGAATTTAACAATTTTTGGCTCAAACTTCAGAAAAAGTCTGAGTAACTGCTGATTAGACCATAGCAATCGCAAATTTTAAAGGCGGTCGTATTGGTCTTCATTCCAGACTTACGGAAGATTTCAACATTTGTGTATCCATCAGATCACATAGTATGAGCAAAACCCAACGTTCTGTAAGATTTCCTTACGGTTGGATAGGCCTTTCATTCGTATTGTTTGTGGGAATTCCGAATTCTTCATTCGTTTTAACAAGATTCTCATTCTTTTCCGTGCTGCCACAATCGCTCTCATAGCTTTTATCACCAAAAATGTTCTCTTTTGCTAATTTCTCATTCATTTCATTCAACAATTGAAGTCAACTTCTCATTCCATCAAATACACTCTATAATTGATCATTTGATTGTCGAACGTTGTTCAGCAATAATATTCGATTGTTGTGTTGTTGATTTCGGCTGTCAACACTCGTCAACGCATCCACTAAATAGTATATGCTACAGAATGAGAAGTTGTGAAGTGAAATGAGACGAAGTGAATGAGAAAAACTCATGAAGAGAACTGTATTCGCATGTGATAGCTATGAGAGTGAATATAACACGTCTGAAAAGAATGAGAATTCATCTGAATCACTTTGAAGTGCGCATGTCCTAGACAATAGCTTTTCATGCAATCATAATCGATTGCATTAATGAGTAATGGAAGTAATGGAAGTATTGAAGCAACTGAATGTGAGAAGCACTGCTGTACAGTGTGGAATAATCAGGAGCACACTATTCAAACCCTCTTCCCCTGTTCCAGGAAAATAGTCTTTATTAATATGCTTATGCAGGTTCCATTGAATTCATAGAATGCCCTCTCATAGATCAAACATGTTGCAAGTCTGTTGCTTATGCACAGTTGAAAACTGGAACCTGCTTCTGAATCTGTTAGTTCCATATTATGGAGGAAGCTTTCTCTTCCTGATCTCTTCTGAACTATGACTATAGTCACAGTGAGATGACGAAATGTCTATGGGAAAGGGTGCATTCGGAAGAAATCATTTGGTATGCCCATAGTGTACCTTAAGATGTCTATAAATCGGTCACACCACACGTCCATTGAGCGAATTCAGCGAATGCTGATGCATGCAGACAATCGTCATTTGCAGTATGCAACAAGAAATGTGAACGAACGTTGCTGTAATATATGCTATAGCTCAATCACTTACTGTGTCACGAGCTGTGTAAAATTGAAAAATTCTCAATACGAATGGTCATTCCGAAAAATTTTCACAGTTTCGTCGAAGGTCACTGCAAAATGAACCAGTTCTATATGCAACGACGATGCGATCGCTTCTGTACAACTAGAAATAAGTTACCTGATTGAACGATTCGCACCGTTCAAACAGCCACTGCGTCTCTATTTTAAGCAATTGTGCATCTACGATTCTCAGTTTCATGGAACAAATATAACATTCATTTTATTCGGAAAATTCGTTCACATCGTAACAGTTACGAATTACTCACAATCAGAACAAGTGAAATATCAAAATGGATATCTTGTTTCGGAAGCACACAAACAAAAACAAATATTCAACTATTACTACCATTATGCACTAAATTATAGCCAGTATTTTCAATTGAGGAACCAGCATCGTCAATATCGTATCATCAACAAAACGAAAACAAAACTGACAACTGAAGTCGTCAAAGAGTCGTCGAAATCCGTGCAGCAGAGTTCCGAATGGTAGAAAAAATAACGAGAGATTTCCGCGAGATTTAGCTGCAAGTACGTTCAGCACAATTCAACGATGTTCGCAGGGCTGGATTGTGGCTCACATGGCGCAACTTTATCCTTTTCGATTGTGTAGATATCGCCAGGATTTTCGTGAACGTCCAATTGCTCCGTACCAGTAATACGGTACAAAAACGTGAATGCTATACATGCAAAGCCGAGGAATACGGTGAGCAGTAGCAATTCTGCGTGTAAACTTATTGATCCGGTGAAGAAGAACGAGGCGCATGCCATCATCGACTGCAATTAAGTTTACATCAGGATTGTGTTATTATCAATATTATTTCACTCCTTCATTCCTGATCTGTTAGGAGATAACTCATCTGCACTAGCATCTTATTTCTTGTTGGAACAAGCAAATGTTTATTCAACACTCTCAATTGAATGTTGCATAACAAAGCCAGCAAAATCACTCAATCTATCCTGGTGGATGAACACATCATTTGTTTCAGTCGAAGAAGATGCTTTTTACATGAGCATCGCTCCTGAAGAATTGTATTTTCGAGTTAAGAAATTGTGTGCATATCTCTAGTTAAACGCCATTCATATAAGACGAAAGCGTTCGATACAAATGACCTCTTGTTAATTCATAAGAAAAGCCTCTGGTATATGACAGAGTGATATATGGTGATCAACAAGAGAGCATGCGATCAAATACCTGGAAGAACTTGCTCAGGGCGAATGCTTGTGAGCTGTTCTTACTGTAGAGAGCGGTAAGGCACGCTGTTCGAATAGTGTTCCAGAAGCTGTCACCAATTGCTAACAGAAGTCCAAGAAACAGCCATATCAGAAGACTGAAAGATATTACACAGTGTAAGCGAATTATTTGTGAACAATTCAAGTTGTTTGGCTGTTGTTGCTCTTTTCAATAAGTCGACTGCAATGTTACTATATACTGTGCGAAGTTTGTTCCATCAGCTAACCTCGGTGCAAGCATAGTTGGTTCTAATGATGAACGAGTATTAGCATCGGACGGAAAGGTGATATAGATTCCCGCAAACGTGATCAAATTGATGGGAATCGTCATTAACATTGTCGGCATGTAACCAAAACCGTAGATTTTTTTGCTCATGAAGCTGACGAAGAAACCGCCTGAATGAGAAACAACACGTTTTAATGATCTTCCAAAAGTATTATTGACCAATAATTTGGAATCAGACGGAAACATTACTTTAAATGAACCGAATTTAGTGCAGTTTCATGTTCGGGTGGATTCGATATGAAGTCATCTTATAAAGGTGAAATATAACCATCAAATAACAGGAAATCATCACTGTTTAGTCGTAAAGTAGTAATTTTTTTTGAAATTCCGGCTAGTCTTAAGTGTCAGTCGCATAAGTTGTGAGACGGAAAAGTTACCGGCGATCTGCCCGAATGAAGTGACTAAAGCGAAGTAGGCGATTATCTCATTGCCAGCACCAACCAATGATTTCGAGAACGATAAACAAGACGGATAGATGGAGATGTAGAAGGAGAGTACGAACCCATTGTACATGAATATTGCCGATAGTAGCAGCATTCGACGATCACGAAGTAACATAAAGATTCGACCTGAACGATTTTCAGTAGTTCAGACAAAGATTACTTCAGATTGTGAAGTTCTCATTCGTGTTATGAACTCAATATGAGCTACTGAAGTTACTATTGTTACCGTTGCTGTGAACAGTGAGCCTCAATTGAGCAACGCATTGAAGAGATCACCTGCACATATCTACTTTTCTACATCAAGGACTCCGGAATTTTGACTTGGAACTTGAATGTTGACTTACCGATTGTTTTGCGGAAGCTGGCTTTACTAGCTGCGCTTCGTTCCGAGAAATCGGGAAGAAGGAAGAAGAGAACATTCGAGAGAATCGTGAATACGGAGAGACCTTCGAAGATATACCTAAAGTGAGAAATTGAACGGTGTTTAACGGAAGAAATCTTTGTGAAAGGAGATTTTATTGAAAAAACCATTGCAAATGCCCATGGCTAGTAGAATCTCGCTGAATTATCCTGAAACATTTGATGATTCCTCAATCATTTCTAAATTATCTGTTTTTATGCTCTATGTTCTCTTAATAACTCGACATTGAATAGTGCCGAATAACTATCTACGATTTTGATCCATGTAATCGTCTCCACTTGTTTAATTTTAATTAATTCGGTGTGCCTCATCCAGATTTGAGTCAACCGTGTCTTACGGAGAATGCACTTTTCTTGTGTTCAGAAAAATTAGTCCCCTTACTCTGCTCACTGTTATTATTTCATTGCTATCAAGTCCGATTCTCTCCTCGGTTTATATATTGACTGTTTTATGCTTCCTATTTTGACAATTTGATTAATTGTTTGCTCGCCGGTTTTCTTCAATAGCAAAAAGTATTACAACAACAAATTTGCTGAATTCGTTCATGAACAAGTTGATTTTATGGGAGACGATCGAGGCGGAACTTTATTTGCGTGATTGATGCGTCTACTTACGTTATAACTTCCATTGACATCACTTGCGATTGACCAGTGCCACGAAAGATCAACAACAACAGTATTCCACCGAACAACAAACTGAAATTTTCTAACGCATTTATTATCAGCGAATGACTTTCGACAAAAACCAGTACTGGTAGCATTGAAACACTTCAAAAATTCATCGAATTCACTATTCTACATGATGCGCATGCGATGCCGTTCATGTGATTTCCATCATCAGCTGATCATGATGGGTCTCGAAGAAATCAAAAAAAGAATCAGTCATTTTGAGTGCTGTTGATAACACACTGGATATTTACCATATGTAAGGACTAAATGGGAGTATGGATAATTTGCAATCCATAGATCAAAATTTTCGATATATCTTTGCATAAATACATCCTACTCATTAAAACATTGCTTCTGGAATGTATTCATTGAATTCTATTCATTTGATACAGTTTTTTTACAGGCGAATACTTTTCATTAGCAAATCCAAAGCAACACAATTTATAAGGTGGATAATTAAGATTGAATGGCGAATATTACCTGCCGAAATTCAATCCCCAATGTAATCCACTGTTTCTGGACGCGTTGCCAGGTGTGGTTATTTCTCTCATGTACACACCGTGCGCATTCCAAAGCACTAAACTAATCAGAGTGATTTGTACATAACGAGAGAATTTCATTAGTCAATGGACATCACTAAACATCTTTACACTCGTTTTTTTAAATTCTAATCTTCTGCGAGAACTTTGTCTGCAGGGACTATCGATTAGAGAGGAATTTTACTGATTGTGAGAAATGCGGATAATTTTCCGTTACTACAAAGTGAAACAAGAAGTCGGCAGCAGAATTAGACTGGCACTCACACGCTGCAGCAAATCCCATAATTGCAGACATCGCATAGAACATGTAGCTGTTAACCATCACAAAAGTGGTCATGAAAGCCGTGTAAGCCAGACTCGCTAAGAACATGCTCCATTTTGCGCCAATCCAACCCAATATGAGCGGTGTGAGAAAACACGATGAAGTGAATGTGAGATAAGTTATCGCAAGTCTAGAAATCGTTTTATTTTATCAATAGATCAGTCGGTAATCCTGTAGGAATTATCTGAATGTGCGACTTTGTGCAGTTGTATAATAGGCAAATCATGCGATAATAGCAATAGCAGCAATACATCTAGTCATTAAAATAATTCACATGCATTGTTTCTGTCATTATTGATATCATGCGTTCCGTGCTCACATGTTGTTGATGCCATCCATCATCAGTTGCACTTTTTGATCAGATGATAGAAAGAACATCAAAAATATTATCAATTTTGCCTTCATTTCGTATGCACAAAGCATAAAGTTCACCTTTAACAGCGATGAGATTTGCTTTGCAAATATCATTGGTGATTTGAAAAGGAAACGTTGCATGGAAAAAGAGGGCAACTCACCCATAATATCCGGCATGTGGGTCGATTCGGTGTGGCTCTTTGAGTGCTATTGAGTGAAGCGCTGTTTCGGTGACGTACGCTTGAGTGTCAAAACCGGTAAAGACGAACATAAAGGCGAGGCCAAGCTGGATTACCGATGGCAGTTCACGAGTCAGACCGAAACGGGCCGATACTCTGTTGATCAAACTCGAAGGTCCTTTGCCTTTCATGATGGAGTCCAGGTGTTCGAGTGATTTCTTATTCCAAACACTTATTTCATCAGATCAAGCGATTTTGAGTAACAATTTGTTGGTTGATCGCTCACTGATCTCGTGAATGGTCGTGGATTATATCGAGAGAGAAACCCGTGAGTGAGGGCCAGCTGCAACTGAGCAATTGCAGACCGATTGGCAAACAAGCCTTACCTCTGTAAAAAAAGCCGCAATTCAATTTCTGTCCTATCCAGTGTTCATGAAAAAAATGAGCAAAACAACATGAGAAATCAATTCCATCAACATGAATTCATTGGGGTTGGAGGCGAGGAAAACATTCATCACTAAGGCAATAGTAATAGCAATGATCATAACAAATCAAACCACGATGCTGATCGCAGCGTTTATAATCGGATGAAAATTGCGAAACAAAAAGCAAAACATGCAATGCGCTCAAATTATAAATTATTCTATCCAGAAACGAACAATTTAACCAGTGAAAAGAACGTTCGGAATGTATGTTATCAAATACGTTCAACTGGGACAGTGTTTGATTATGGATCATCAATCGAGCGCATTAAAATGTTTATCATTTACAGTGCGATTATCACCCAGTCAAATCATATGAGAACAACTGATTTGTCGCACATATTCGTTTCTTTCAATCGAGAAAAATAAAAAACAATTCAACAATCACGAGGAAACGTTTTCAGATTTAATGAGACATGCCTGCCGACAGATTCTTCAGTTCCACTCAGTGGACGTGTGTTTTGTGCGAACTGCTGCTGCTGC